TTTCATAAACAATCTTTTCTTTTTTTTTTTTTTTTTCGTTTTTCTCCTTCACATTTCTGAGAGCCTCTTTTATTATTATTATTATTATTGTTATTATTTATATATTTACAGCCATGTCCTCAAACATCCTTCTCTTTCTTTTTTTCTTTTTTTTTCGTTTATTATTTTGCGGGTTCAGGGTGTCACAGCTTCTATAATGTATACCCATCGCCGTTGTCTCTCTCCCCTCCCTTCCCCATGCCATTTTCACCTCCGAAGAAGTGTCCGAGCATTGAGATGTTTAAGCACAAATGCCTGTTGAAAGGACATCTCACGCCAATACCTGTAGCGATCACTTGCTGAGAAGTGCCCGCTTTCGAGGTCCATCTTTAGGAGTACTTCGTTGGAGTCCGTCTTGAGGGCGCGCAGTTTGGAAGCCCACTTCGCCGGCTCCCAGTAGGCCACACGGGGGTCATGAAGACCGGCTTGGATCATGAGATGCGGGTAGTCCTGCGCGCGTACATTGTCCACTGGACTATAGCTATTCATATAGTCAAAGAACTTGTATTCATTTGGGTTACCCCACTCCTCCCACTCACCTGTTGTGAGAGGAATACTCGGATCACACATCGTCGTCATGACATCTACAAACGGCACACCCGCCAGCGCAACACGGAAGAGATCGGGTCGCATGTTTAACACGGCACCAATTAACAATCCTCCCGCACTACGCCCTTCACATGCTAATTGTGAGGGTGTTGTTAGTCCAATTTCGATAAGATACTCCGCACATGCGATAAAGTCTGAAAATGTATTTCGTTTTGTGAGGTACTTTGCACCTACCTCGTACCACGCCCGGCCCATCTCCCCTCCACCTCGGACGTGTGCAATGACATAAATTACGCCACGATCCAAATATGGTAGGTATTTAACACTGAACTCCGGCTCCACACAGGCACCATACGAGCCATATGCATACAAAACTGTTGGGTGTGGCTTACTCATGTCGAGACTGACATCATGCACAATGGAAAGTGGAATCTTCGTCCGGTCTGGTGCCGTAGCAAACAGACGCCGGCAAGTGTAATTTTTCGCGTCAAAATTACCAAGCACTTCACGAACCTTAACGATCGTGCGAGTTCCATTTACGACATGCAGGTCAAACCAAGTTGTGGGGGTTGACATGGAAGTGTAGCTGACGCGCAGCGTCTCCGTGTCGTACATTTTCATGTGTGAAAAAACAGGAAAGGCGGTAAAGACGGGTTCGTCAAACGATACCTCCTGCACAAAGGCACCACTACGAAACAACCCATCAGAACCCACGGGCATCGCCCAAACACGTGTTATTCCCCCACGTCGACCGGAAAGGACAACAAACTTTGCAAATACACCAATTTCCCCAATGAACACATCCTCACTGTGCGGTACAATAACGTTTTCCCAATCCGAAGGGGTGTTACGTGTGGCCGACACCACCTTGCCGTTCATGCAATTGTCCTTGTTTGTTAGAATTAACAAAGTTTCCGTGCCATGAAGCTCCACATCGTAGCGCACACCCCTTTCACGCGGTCGAACCATTTCCAACGTTGTGTGACCGTTGCCTTTGCGTAGATCCAACAGATGCGACTCCGTCGTCTCGAACGACCCCGAGCCGATAATCAAGGTGTTACCATCTCCTGAAATCGCCATGGCGGTACTGAAGAGCAGATCATTCTCCGTGTATAAGCAGACATCCTCCGACTGTGGACGTCCAATAATGTGTCGCCAAATTTTATAATTCCGTTCTGCCGCGTCTTTTGTGATGTAGAAGAAACATGATGCATTTGGACCCCATAAAATCTGGCCATTGGTCCCTTCCACCACGTCGGTCACCGCATTATCCGTAAAACGGATGGTATACATTTCATTTCCAACGTAGTCAACAGAGTACGCCACAAGATTGTGATCTGGTGGCGCCGGTTTCACCTCATGCACCATACAAAATGATTTCCCCTCTGCCAGTTTGTTCTCGTCCAGTATCACCTGTTCATCTTCACTTTTTCCAGGCGTCATTCCCAACGGGACACGGCAGTGAATTTTGTATGACAGGCCTTCCACCTCCCGCGTGTAGTACGTGTAGCCATCGTACCGGTACGGTGCGGAAATGTCCGTCTCCTTTATGTGTGAGATGTACTCTTTAAAAATTGTCTCGGAAAAGTCTTTAATATCCGCCGTGCGCTCTTCAAAGTATGCCTGTTCTAGCTTTAGATGTGCAATGACCTCTGGATTCTTGCGTGAGTCATCCCTTAGCCAAAAGAGTGGATCATTTCGACGACGAGGCGGATTCATTGCATTATTCCCGCGATTCTCCCCTTCAACATAACCAAACACCACCTCGTGATCCTTAGGTGCGGCAATGGGACCAGACTTCATTGAACTCACGGTAGCAGTGAGAGTCTTTCTTTTATTTTATTTTATTTTATTTTATTTTATTGCGTGTGTAGGATTCCTTGCTTTCTTTTCCTTTCTCTGATAATATACTCGTACGAGAGGTGTCAGGATTTTTCTTTTTTTTTTGGGAGCGGGGGCGGGGCGGGGGGGACAGAGAATATAAGAAGGAGGAAGGAAAGGGGAAGGACAACATGCTTAACTGCATTAGGGAAACAAATACATCGAGAAGGAACACACACACACACACACACACACACATATGCACGCATACAGAAGGAGAGAGAAAACGCTGGTAATGGTGATTATTCTGCACATTCATCGCAGGGGGTCTCAAGAGAAGAGAATGAAAATGAAAAACAAAAAACGTAAAAAAAAGAAGACGCAAAATACATTTCGTTGCAGGCACACACACACACACAGAGAGAGAGAGAGAGAGAGAGAGAGAGAGAAAATACGGACACACCCATATATTATCAGAAAGAGAATAATATATAAATATACATGCATACATATATATATTTATTTACAGAAATAAAATTCTGTTTCTTTACTACCACCATCACTATCACCATATATATATATATATATATATATTCATTTCTACTTAATTCTTACGACGTGTTACATGATCGTATATTGTAACTTGTACATAATCTGAAGTTTGAATAACGGTACGATTGCTATTATCTCCTGGTGTCGGTGCTTTAGGGTCAACATTAATTGTCTTTCTATCCCGCTTATGTTTCATAAGAAGTCCCATTTCATTATCCGCAAGTACTTGAAAGGTAAAACTGTTGTTGTAAAAAAGAGTATGTGTTTTCCAGTTATAATAACTCAAATCTGTTCGTTTTGGTGTAAGTTTCTTGCGTTTTGTAAAGTATTCTGTAAAGTCTTCTGTTTTTAATCGATGACCGTAGTCAATGTACGCCGATACCTCCTGCCCTCGCACAATATCACGGAGGAAAATGATGGTCGATAATTTTCCATTCCGTACAAGTTCTTCACGCTTCGCCAATGCACTAAGCAACGGGGCATCATCTAACTTTTTCCCCGCACTGCAGATGACATCCACCGTCTCTTCGCGCCTTGACGGTCCCTCCAGGGCGAGTTGACATGCCGCCTCAAACTCCTCACGGCTGAGGAAGTCTTTGCCCTTGTAGCCAAGCTCCACAATTTGCCGGGCGGCGTCCTGGTTGCCGAGGTAGAAGAGATCCTCCGGCGTCACCTGCTGGTCGAGGTACTCCTCGTATGAGCCAAAGTCTAACACGTTGCGGTTGAAAAGATCATTATCGGCCTGCGCCGCGAGACTCATGTCTGTATCACCGCGTCACTCCCCCGCTGCCAACGACAGACATCGAGAAGAAAGGGGAAAAAAAAGAAAAAAAAAAAGAGAGAGTCAAATGTTACGCCAAAAATCCACATCGACCCCTCTTCAGAAGACAGAAAAACAACAACAACAAAAACAACGGCATAAATAATGTTACCCATACACCCATCTCAATATACACTGACAGAAGGAACAATATGGTTTTTATTGATGTATGTATGTGTGGGCGTACGTGTCCTCCTTTGCTTCTTGTAGTTGTTTAGCAATTGGCATGCCTTGGCTCAATCGGAGCCCATGCACGCCGCAAAGTTTCCCGAGCCAAGAGAAGTTCCGCAAGAAGGGCTCGCGCCTTCTGTGCTGGAATGCAGAGCGTGAAATGACCATGCGGCATCCGCCATGCAACCCCAACCTCCATTAGGGGTTTGCTCTCGGTGGAGTCCGATGTTGACGATGACGGTGGTTGTGATGGCAATTGCCTTGCGTAAATTTGCATGTCGTACAAATGACCAGCCACACCTTCTTCTTTCTTCCCCTGTTGTCGTTGTTCTTGTTGCTGCTGCTGCTGCTTCGGCAAGGCGTCACAGGCACCAAAGCTTGCCTCATGTACAAGATGACGACAGGCAGATGTCTCTCCATCGAGTGAACCAAAACACCCAAAGGAGACACGTGGGGTTTGTCGCAGGAGTGCGCTTGCTAGTTCCATGCGGTGGGTGCGTACGGGGGACACAACAGCCGCCGCCGACTCTTCACTCAGCCCAAGGATGCCAAGTTCCCGTACCGCATCGTTCTCCGAGACGTCATACTTCACAATGTTGAGCACGACGGTGTGTATGGCTGTTAGGGCCTGCGCCACACGTGCAACGCCAATCTCCATCATCTCCCGCTGTGAAAAGAAAAGTTTGTTTTGTACATCCAATACACCGAGCCCATCGGAATCCGTTTCCCTCGCATCCTCATGCGTCGTGAGCAACAGAATGGTGACCGCATGGTCTGACATCTTTGCCGCGGCCACAGGTTCAACGGCAGCCACCACAGCCAAACGTGCAAGCACACTGTCTGGGCAGTCCATGCCGCCAAAGAGCCTAAGCTTCATCGTACCGTCCGTGGCACACCTCAGCCACGCAAGCAAATGTATGCTCACGTAAGGCTCCTTCCACCACATACACAGATACACAGAAAAAACAACAACAACAACAACATGAGAAGATGTAAAAAATAATGTGAAGAGAAGCATCCAATTGGCAGGCAGTCTTTATATATATATATATATTAATGCAAGAGAAGCAAAGCTTCCGAACAATTGCTCCCTGATCCATCAAAACAGTGAAACACGCACATAAAAAAATCACACAGCAAGAAAAAACACAAAAACTACAACAACAACAACAAAAAACAAACAAATCGGCGCTTACGCACCACCATCCACCCGCCGTCTTTTCTCCCCAACTTATGTGCCGCGTCATTGGAAATTCGGCGCAAAAAACGTCCGTGCCGCCGTTATAAACTGCAAAAATAACGCCCCGACGCACATCCCAAATGCCACGCGACCCACACACACCGCCTGCCCCGCCTGCGTCTCGCCGGTGTCATTGGCACCACTGCGCGTCATCCCTTCCGTCTTGTTGCCCGACTGTAGGCGGAATTCAAGGACCACCGCAGCAACACCCGTCGCGAGCGCCACGCACAGGGAAAGAAGAGTTGTCAACAACAAAGCCGGCACCACCACCAAAGGCAACGCCCTTTTCACTGACGCCAGGGACCGCATTAACCCCGCCAGAGCGGCCGCAAACGACGATGCGCACAAAATGGCGGTCATGGCAGGCATCCACGGCAATGAAAAGGGTATAATAGATTTGGCCACTTCTGACGGTATATTCGTGAACATCAACCCAAAGAGCGACACCGCCGCCAATGACGTCAACAGACCAAACTCGCAAAGACGTACAAAAGACCCAAAACGAGGCAAAAGACATAACGGCAGTGCGACAATAACGGTGAACAACAAAAAATACGCAAGGAACGAAGGGCTGGTAAACGCAAACAGCTTCGATGAAAACAGTGACTCAAACTCAATGATAAGAAACAAAACCGCCAAAAGGCAGCCACATGCTATGCAACGAAGCAAAAAACAAACTTCTACACGGCGCAGTGTGGCAAACATGGTCCCTGCGTCAATCGCAGAGTGAGAAATACGTGTCGTCCCTTGACAATCGGTGGGTGGTGGTGGTGGCAGCAGACAGATGGCAAGCGCAAAAATGGGCCCCACACATGTCAGGTAAACAAAGCCACGTAATACTTCAAGTACTTCGCCCTCACTAAGACGTAAAGTAATTAAAAAAATGAATATTCCCGCCGCAATGCTCATTAACCAGAGATAAATTGTAACAAACATAAGAGAAATGGTGCCAAGGAAAGCCCCCATCTTTGCGCAATTGATAAACAGCATCATCATCACAGATAGCACAAACCCCACGGCATGTAATAACTGAGATATCATCATTAACTCAAAGCTACCGGACGTATAGCCACGCATAAGACAAATTCCACTTCCAACAGTTGTAATCGTCGCAGTAAAAAGTATAATAAACCGTATAGAGTTCCCACCATGAAAACAAAATACTATAAGTGGCATCAGGATGAAAATTGCAGCCGCGTCAACAAATAAAAGAGTGAGTTTCATCATATTTCGCCTCGTAACAGAGCCTTCAACGTTGGTAAGGAGATCCATACTGGCAAACAGACCACTTTGTGCCATAGATGGGAAAAAGATACCCATAGAAAGTATTAAAAAAAGGACCTGACGTGCCATTGCTCTAAAAAAATCCCGAAAATTTACATCCACTCTCAACAACCCTTTCATTTCCTTTTCAATTTCCACGGTAACATCGAAATCCGAATCATCAACGATTTTAAAGACGGGCAATTCATTTTCGTAAAGTACCCATGCGATGGTGCGGTCTTCTTCACCAGTTACAAAATTAAAAAATAAAGGGTTGCTTGAAACCTCCCGTGAGTTTACATGACCCAAATGACTATTGACGTCACCCTGCAAACCTTCCATCGTACCATATGAAGGCACCAAATGGAAGCGCCGGCTCAGGACTTGTTCACTTCCTTTTTTTTTTCCTTCTTCTTCTTCTTGTAGATCTTGCAGAGGTGATGTCACCTGCACGCCGCAGTTGGAGGCCGACATGGGCAACGCGGCGGTTTTCGCCAAAGGCACCTCCGTATCCTCTTGCTGTCTCCACAATCCACACGGCTTCATCGCCCGTGTTTCCGATTCCACGCTATGTACTCGTCGACTACTTGCACTCCATGAATTTACGGATCCACACACACTACTTAAAGGCGAACGTCCATAGAACGCCTTCATCATAGCGTGATGTTCCATGGAAGCATCGTTTTCAATAATACTGCGCAAAGCCGATTCTTCCCTAATGAGAATCATTCTCCCTGCCGTATTGTCGCTTTCCTCGTCTTCAGCGACTTGCTGTAATAAGTACTTTACCATCGCTAAGGTAGGAACAGATGAAGACGGCGTGCCTATTTCACTACAGTGAGTTGATGAAGAGATTGGGTTCTCAAGAAACTCAGATGCGATGAGAGTTTGAGGCGATAACAATTGAGGTTCCCTCTCCTTCAAACTTCCTGTGGGATCATTGAAGGGGATATTTGACTTCACTGGGGGTTGAGGTGGATTTGTCTGCTCCGTCCCTCGCCCCCTTCTTTTACTTCCTTTTCTTGGCATACTACGGCAACCACACCCCCTGGAAGCCTCTCTCTCTCTCTCTCTCTCTCTCTCTCTATAGATGTATGTGTATTTCTTTTACTGATACTTGGAATAGAAAATACTATAAAATCAGAATAATAAAACAACAAACAACAGGAAAAAAAACAAAACAAAACAAACAACAACAAAAAAAAACGTAGAATACACGTGCCCGTAACACACGGCGTGTAATAAAGCATGTGACACACACACACACACACAAACACACACATGTAGGAAAGCCGTATAGACATCAATCATATATGCTCCAATATTTCATCTTGTGCAGATACGCAACAGCAATAAATATATAAATAAATAAATAAATAAATAAATATATAAATAAGTAGGAAGAAATAAAAATAAAAATAAAAATAAAATAAAAAAAAGAAAAAGAGAAATTCATATAAAACTAGTGTCATGTATATATATATATATATATATATATAAATATTCCACAACGCTCCGAACATTGTTATTACGTGTACAAATCGTGTGTACTCTACATACATTTTCCATTGCATGCGTACGTGCCTGCAGGTATGTTATGTATGGAAAGACCAGCGGTTGACGTACGTCTAAAAAAAAAAAGACAAATACGTACAAAGACATAAACACACGGAAAGCAAAAAAAAAAAAAAAAAAAAAAAAAAAAGAAAGAAAGAAAGAAAGAAAAGGCAACCCCCCCAATTAAACTGCAAAAAACAAAAGGACAAACAGAAGAACACACATATATACACTAATAATAACAACAAAAACAACAAACACGACATGCTCACAGGTACATCATCAACAACAAAACGGCAAGCATTACAATGAAACACACACACACACACACAACACAAACTCGGATGCGTTACAATCCATGACTATTCACAGTGACGCACGCAGAATAAAAAAAGAAGGTGTGTGGGGTGGCGGTGGTGGGGGTGGTGGAAAAAAAAAGAAATGAAGGGAGCAAAACCTTGTATACATGCACGGCATTTCTCGCCCAAATTTTCTTCCTTCATTTATTCCCTCCCCTCCCCTCCACACAATTTCCAAGGACGTTCCGGTCAAAGGAAAAACAAAACAAACAAACATATAAAACCCAAATCCTTACAATATATAAATAAATTAAATGAAACACGTTTGAAAAGAAAAAGAATGCCTTTACATGTTAATTAGATAAGAGAGTACCGCTTATACATAAGTGTTACAATAACCGCTACCATCAGAACACCACTTGTTAGAGAGAATACTCCAGTTTCTATGGTATCTGTTAGAAAACCAGCATTCCTTAGACACTTTGCCGCTAAAAACGGAGAGTATTCGTGTAATGGACGTAAGAAAGTTTCCTCCCGTCCTTGCTGCAATGCATACAGCACCAACAAACCACGTCCTACAGAAGACAACTCCTCTGACAAACTGTCATGCTTCTCATGCAATTCCTCCAAAGCACGACGTCTCTTATCCTTATCTACTTCTCCATTCACAACGAATGACAAATTGGCGACACGATGAATTCCACTGCTGAGAGCATCAATTCGCGCCTGAATCAATCGCTCTCTCACACTCTGTCCAACCAGCATCGTTTTCATCTCACATACACGATGCCTAAGTTCCCGAATCAGCACCTCAAAATCCTCCTCTAAATTCAATGCAGCATCCTCATTCTCACCGTAACCAGCATGAATATCAATCAATTCCTGCAAACGACGCGTCGGCTCTGTATCCTTACAATCCTCCTCTAACTTCCTCAGCAATTCAGAAAATTCATGCAATTCCGCCTCAACACAACCAAATTCTAGTTGCACATGTCCCAACGCATCCCACCAGTCATCATTCCTACAATTCCCATTCCAATTCCAACCAAAAACAAAATTCCTCAGCGAACGCAAAGATTTAAAAACTCCCCACAAAAAAGCAACAAAATAACTATCTTTCGCATGATGAAAAGTGCACAACCCATCTTGAAACGACACCCCATATTCTCCTTCACCCAAACCACGCAACCTTCTCAAAAACACTACAAACATATCCGTTCCCGTCTTCAATCGTACACCAAGTGAAGGTTTCTCCATGCAAATCTCATTAACAGGACCATCAAAAATATTGAAAGCGTTACCACGCTCCTGTAGCTGGCGCTCCATGGCAGCCAATGCGTCAACACTCTCACTGGAGCGGCTCTCCAGCGCAGACTTTTCTCTGCCGTACTCCTCCAGTCTGTCCCTCAGCGCAGCCAGGGCATCATCACGCTCCTGTAGCTGGCGCTCCATGGCAGCCAAGGCGTCAACACTCTCACTGGAGCGGCTCTCCAGCGCAGACTTTTCTCTGCCGTACTCCTCCAGTCTGTCCCTCAGCGCAGCCAGGGCATCATCACGCTCCTGTAGCTGGCGCTCCATGGCAGCCAAGGCGTCAACACTCTCACTGGAGCGGCTCTCCAGCGCAGACTTTTCTCTGCCGTACTCCTCCAGCCTGTCCCTCAGCGCAGCCAGGGCATCATCACGCTCCTGTAGCTGGCGCTCCATGGCAGCCAAGGCGTCAACACTCTCACTGGAGCGGCTCTCCAGCGCAGACTTTTCTCTGCCGTACTCCTCCAGCCTGTCCCTCAGCGCAGCCAGGGCATCATCACGCTCCTGTAGCTGGCGCTCCATGGCAGCCAAGGCGTCAACACTCTCACTGGAGCGGCTCTCCAGCGCAGACTTTTCTCTGCCGTACTCCTCCAGCCTGTCCCTCAGCGCAGCCAGGGCA